ATGAAGACTCTCTCCATGCGTCCGTTTAATTTGTGGTGTCATGAGAAAGAAAAAACACCCAGCAAGCTTCCAATACCCCCAGGCGACGTCTCAGTTGTTTGTGGAAACTAGCGGAATTTCCCTTGCATGTACCATTTTCGAAACATATGGTTTTCCTGCTTCCTTCTAGTCAATGAAGGGCATTTTTTTTGGTGAACTCAATTTAGCTGGTGACATCACCATTAAGGGTAAAAAATGTAGGTTTTCCCTTCGATCTACTATAACTAGTCCAGTCTTTGTGGTAGGATTGCGCGGGAACACCAGGAAGAGATCAAGGAGATTCAGCCGGACGACCTTCAAAAGCTGCTGGCTTCAGTTGGGCGATGGCCAAATCTTCACAGCCCCAGCAAAGGTGATATTGGCAGGACCATTGGCAATGGCATTCCACAGAAAGGAATTAAACAGTGACATGGGCCCAGTGTGGGCCAAGATTGAGTGCTTAGATCTTTGCTTTCAAGATTTGGAGTGTTTGCTGTACAATTTCAGGGTACGAGTCAAAGACATGTTTTTTTATCTCTGGTGGAGGGCCATGGTTTGCCTAGGGAATACGGGGTACCCATGAGCCCCCCAGCCTGTTGGGCCTGTTGCTATTGATCGCTTTGGGCTGCAGGATGCTCTCCTCATGGCATATTAGGACACAATCATAGAACATCTATAGATAGTAAGAAACAATATGAAGGTAGTCTTGTCCTTTGGGCGTGCATACATCTGCACACATGCATATATATATATAGTTATATATATATATTATAATATGTATACTGGTTGGCGGTTTAGAACATGTTTTTATTTTTCCATATATTGGGAATCATAATCCCAACTGACTAACATTTTTCAGAGGGGCTGAAACCACCAACCAGTATATATAATGAGAATCTTATATTATATAACATTTATATATATATATATACATTTATATATATATACATATATATATATATACACATATATATATTGTTCTGTCAATTGTACTGGGGAAAGAGTTGTTCTCCACTTTTGAGGGCCAGTGGGACCCATTGGTCGATCAGGTTGGAAACCTTGATGGTCGTTCCTGACCCCATTCGTCGAACTCTGGAAGCTGTGCAACTTTGGCGGCGGGAAAATCCAGATTTTTAGTAGGACATCCCATATTTTGTTGGTGGGAAATCCAACTTTTTCGGTGGGAAATTCCTTTTTTTGGGGTGCGCACATCCTCTTTTTCAATGGTATATCCCCATTTTTGCACTTCCAAAAGTGGGCGGTTTGGGATCTAGCCTTATCTCCACTAGCTCCACCATCTTCAGGACGCAAATAAATGGTGGGTAGCAACTCCCCCCAAAAAAAAACATTTTGGGGTTTATAGCGTAGCTATATAGACCCAACCAAATGTAGAAAAAATGCGACTCAGGATACATCATCAAATCTGTTCCAGCAGTCTTGTTGCGGATTTGGCGTCCAAGGTACATGCTGTTGCTTCCATCCTCTGGTTTGCCTTCCATCAATGCCCTGACCCCCCCAGAGTGGGCCGGGATTCAGGAGATGTTGAAAGACAGCTCCTGGACTCAAGAAGGCTTAGCTGGCTTAGCTACTAAGAACAAGGACGAACAAGCAAATGACAACGGACATGACATGAGTGAACCATACAGAACCAACAGGATCAAACAATCTAGTGAATCTAGCGGATGGTATAACTACTATTTTGGCCTGAAAGCTGAAAAGCCGAGAGGCTCGAGATATGAGTGTGGAGGAAATTTGCGTATTAAGCATTGCGGACTGAGTTGGGTTGCAGCAGTAGCTACAGCAGCTTGTCAAATCCCTCATTGGCCCAACTCCCGCCTGGTTGGTGGTTGTTGACCAGTCAGGTTCCATGCTTCAGCGTGTGTTGAATTATACTGCTCGCAAGGAGGAGCCGAGCCCACACTTTGAGATACCGTGCTGGGCTGACTTGTGAAAGGTAGGTGAATGATTCATGTGTATTTTGATTCTCAGCAGTTTTGACTGGGGACGATGTTGAATGTTTATTTGTTTAGTTTCCGAAAGCATTGTGATAAGGGAATATCTCTGCAAGTATGTATAATATATATATACATATGTATATAATTTATATGGATATATGCATACACACACTTGCTCAGAAATAGCTTATCGAATTATTGATGTGGAATGCATCGTACGTGCAAAAACACCTCAGTAAACCTGACAGGAATGGTTGAATGATTAGAAGTGAGAAACTGTGCGAAGGCAATCTTTCTACGTCCTTGCTCGAAGGATTTACTGGTTCTGATGCAGCTCAGTCAGATTGTGAAAACCGTACAGTAGTTTGGTTTGAAAAACGACATGCCGGTTCTTGGCTTGGCCGGTCACCATTTCGGAAAATGGAAAATTGGAAAATTTGCAGGTACGTTTGCACGACATCATGGATGGGTCTTCGTTGGCCCGTGCCATCCATGTGCCCACGGGCCCCCTGCATCTAATAAATGAAGTAACTTGAAGTAACAGCAACTTACTTGCCCGAAAATAGAAGGAAAAGAAACCATCCAAAACAAACAGTACGTGAGTTAGAAGTTTTACATCTTTTCAGATGTTCCACACACACGCCTCGCTGCCGCGAGGCTGTTTAAGGCCCCGACGAATGAGATGAAGGTGAAGATGAAGGAAAGATGAAAATGAGATGACGATGAAAATGAGATGACAATTACTTAACCGGAACACAAGAGGGGGAACGCAAAAAGGAAAAGGAAAAAGAGAGAACACCAACACCAACACACCTGGCCCGAAACGGGCAAACCCTGAAAGGGCAAGGAAAAAGAAAAAGCGGACGGACGACGGGCCAAAAACCAACCAGAGGAGGGGGGGCGGACAGAAGCGCCTGACACAACCTACAAGGCGAGAGCCAAAGCCTACCTAGGAACACGAAGGACCCGAACCTGACCTAGAGAGGAAGGCGCGCATGAGATAGGGGACCAATGGGGAACTAGTTGATGAAAAAAGATGCATCCACATTACGTGCATTTTTCGTGATAAGGCTCAAAGGCCCTCGGTATTCAATTCAACCCCATCGACGGCTGTCAGTATTCAGGTGAATTAAGTGCACAACTAAACCTCACCAACGACCATAGAAAGAATCACCACACCTGAATGTCCTGAAGCCTTCACATGGTCACATGTCATTTTGAAAATGTCGAGCTCCGTACTCTCTAGGGCATCATTGAAAAAACGAATGTTGTCGCGGCTTTCAGCAAGCTACTCTTGGAGATGCATTCACTCTGGAAATTCATCAGTCCCCGTAACAGCGGGCAGCTGTTCAACACTCACTCGACCGACGTGTGAGACCATGAAAAATGGCTGGCAGTTCAGTTTACTAGACGAATTACTAATTCAAAAGTGTAAATTCAGACCTCGTTTTACCGTCAAAAGTTAGCCTGGAAAGGCTTTCCCCGAAGGGTTCATACCATCTTGACGAAAATCGGTATGAAGGACACACTTGCTCAGAAATAGCTTATCGAATTATTGATGTGGAATGCATCGTACGTGCAAAAACACCTCAGTAAACCTGACAGGAATGGTTGAATGATTAGAAGTGAGAAGCAGTGCGAAGGCAATCTTTCTACGTCCTTGCTCGAAGGATTTACTGGTTCTGATGCAGCTCAGTCAGATTGTGAAAACCGTACAGTAGTTTGGTTTGAAAAACGACATGCCGGTTCTTGGCTTGGCCGGTCGCCATTTCGGAAAATGGAAAATTGGAAAATTTGCAGGTACGTTTGCACGACATCATGGATGGGTCTTCGTTGGCCCGTGCCATCCATGTGCCCACGGGCCCCCTGCATCTAATAAATGAAGTAACTTGAAGTAACAGCAACTTACTTGCCCGAAAATAGAAGGAAAAGAAACCATCCAAAACAAACAGTACGTGAGTTAGAAGTTTTACATCTTTTCAGATGTTCCACACACATATATATATATATATATTATAGACGATATGCCGCTAGATTTGAAGGTTTTGATGAAAGACTAACCATGCTCAAAGTAGTATTTTTGTCTAATTCACGCCCGTTGTTTCTGTTGTTTCCATCCCTGCTCAGGTTGGGTGATGGATCGCTCGACCACTAATGGCCATGCAAGTCTTAAGGTGAATAGGAACAGAGTGACCAACCACTCAGTCTCTGGGTCCTAAAGTCAGTTTTGCTTCTCATATCTTCCGACCTTTGAAATTACATAATATGTATGTGAGTATATACATGTATATACATATGCGATGTAATGTATACATATACATATATATTATCCCGTATATATACGTCAGATCGTCAGTATGTGGTAGGTATGTTTGTTCCTCGATCAAACCTGTGACCCGTTCCCAATTCAAAGAATTGGATAACTGGATAACACAAATGCTAGAAGTGCAACTTGACCTCAGGCAAGCTCTTTTATCATCTTGTATAGAAAAAGAATATGGACTAAAGAGCGATGTTTCATCCAATGCTAAATGGAGGAATATATATATATACACATATTATATGACTTTATGCAGCCAATGCAGACATCTCACATCATGTGCTATAAACATTCAACATAGTATCCTGTGTATTCCTATGATTATTTTCGTGCATTACATAACACATCATGTACAGTATAACGAAGGTTTAGCTATGCTGCGTAGCCAGTGGTCGTCGTACTAGGAGATGGTCACCCGGCCGTTGTGGGGAAGCTATGCAGCCAGACGCTTCTTTAGCATTGAGAAGGCGGGAGGGTCAGGGCAACTGGTTGCGGCGTAGGGATTAGTTTGATGGGTTTGATCGTTAGGGTTGGCACATGCTGTGTAATTCAGATGATGTCAAGTACCTTGATTTGTTTTTTTTCTCGCTCCTTTGCCTGAAGGGTAACACACTGTGTGGATGGCGGAGTCGACATGTCCATTGAGTCCTTTGTTACCCCAGATGGCAGCTTTCATTGAAATCTATCAAACCTCAGCGAGAAGATTGAAATGAACCGTGAATGATAGATATATTGGATAGATTAGACTGGATAGATTGGATAGATTAGATCGATTGGCTAGACTGGATAGATTAGATAGATATGATTAGATAGTGTAGATAGATTATGAGATAGAGTAGATAGATTAATTACAGATTAGATATATTAGCTAGATTAGTTATAGATTCAATATATTAGATAGATTAGATAGACTAGACCAGACCAGACCATAGAAAGATAGACAGACAGATAGCTAGATAGGTAGATAGAAAGATAGAAAGGTAGATAGATTAGATAGATTATATAGATAGACAAGACAAGACGAGACCAGACTAGACCAGACCAGACCAGACAGATAGATAGAGAAATAGATAGAAGAGATAGAAGAGATAGAAGAGATAGAATGAATTTACAGAATAGACAGGTTTGATAGAGTAGATAGATTAGATAGAATAGATAACGGGTTAATATACAGGATTTACAACACTTTATTTTCTAGCCAGAAATCATGGCGATTCAACCAACCCCCCAGGGTAACTTCCCAATAATTGGGGATTACTCTCTGTTATTGATAAAGGGTGTTATGTAATTGATATGAGTGGATATTAATGGATATTAGTGGACATTATTGGATACTAATGTTACCAATGGATATTCATTCATGTTTTTTCTGATTTATTAATTAATGGCTATTCATGCTGCTTGGTTTAATCCTCTAGAAAAATATCACTGCAACCCCATTGGTGCCACAGTTCTCCAACAGGTGGACGCTGATCTCAAGGAATTGGATGAACCGGCGAGGCCCCTGTCCTACGAGCGGGTGCTGAGTTCTTGCGAGTCCTTGCATCTCGCCTGTCTTTGAAGGTCCCTGCATGGTGACTTTCTCAAACAACAGGCATGTGCAAAATGATGAAAAATGGTGCATATCAAACTGCAAAGGTGGAGGGGGAGACCTGAACACCTCTGACCACTAGAAATTTGAAGCCGAAGAATTATCTTCCAGACACCAACTTTTGGAGTTCAAAATGTGAGTTTTCAGGAAGGTACTTCTTTGCTGGGTCAAATTTTTGGAAACGGACTGATAAACCATTGGTTTGTGCTCTATTTCGGGCTATATAGAATGAAGGAATGTTCACATGGTATTGATTGGGGCAAGTAGACACGCATGTATGGGGGACTCTGCTTATGGCGCTGGAGAGTTTTCCATCATATGTTACCTCAAAATGAACATATCCAATACTCAACCAGGGTCTCCGGCGATGCTGTTTCTATGATGATTGTCATTTTCAGTGATTAAATTATGCCATATTATACCGGTATTATAGGCATTGTCATTATTTGAGCCACCACAAAAACCCCGGCAATACTAAATATGTATTGGGCGGACATTGGCTTGTGGAAATTGATGGAAATTGTTAAAAACACACGGCAAGCGATGGGACCTTCCCAAATTAGCGATACCCCTTTTCAAGGTTATGTCATTGTATTTCTCTATTGTCCACATTAGCGATACCCAAATTGGACGGTGATGTTTGTGAATTATCTACATATATACATAAATGTAGCAGTTTCCTGCAAGCGATACTCCCCAAGTTTACCATATATCATTAGTGTGCAAACGTGTGGTAAGCAATGGGACCTTCCCAAATTTGTGGATGTCCTTTCCGTGAACCGAGGGTTTTCGAGATTGCTCATCTATGTGTGTATGATGTTTATATGATTCTATTGTTACAATTGTGGTTCTTCGTATCAATTCACTATAGGAAGAAGTGTTTCTTGTTTGCTGCTGCACTGCTGCCACTGCTGGGGAGGGAGTTTTCTTGGTTGCCGGAATATTTCGTTGGATCCCAACAACCCCCGCTCAAGCGGCTTTGCCCCATAAAACCAATTCGACATAGCCGTGGAAAATGAACCAAGGTTCGGAACTGCCGTGACTCGGTGGTCGTCCTGAAAGGTGCCCCCTGGGGGGCAGGCTTATGACCCATAGAACCCACAGCTGGAGGGAGAAGGATAACATTTGGGGGGATTGACGGGTTCATCCCCTAATACACTGCGAAACCAACTATATAAGGCTTCTGAATCTGGGGTTAGCATTGTCTAAAGGAACCATGGAACTGGAGCTGGTCGGAAAGATGTCCTGGGCCTAGAAAATGGTTGATATTGGTTGGTTCCAATCCGGGCAAAGCCTGAGGCTTGACATGGGTCCGCAAAATCCGGGAACTGTTTCCAAAAGCATCCAAAAGCGAAACGATCAAGAGCTTGTTTGACGATGGTCCCCAATTTTGGGGGACACACTGCCGCACCCACAGTGATAGGATTGAAACATATCACAGAATGGCAGAGTTATATACTGTACCTCATTTTTCTTTTTTTCCTTGGTGTCATCAATGTAAAGTTGTTTTCAGCATCGTTGTGAGAAACTTCTCAACACTTGCATTGCACAAGTCACCAGGCGAGTATATTATCAGTTTCAAAGTGTACATTATACATGGATTCTGCCTTGTGTGTTTTCATCCTCAATGCCAGCCATTCCACTTGCAATACAAAGTCGAATAAGTCGATATCCTTGTTGGCCACCCCTTATCATTTTGTTTCCCAAGGACGGAAAGAAGCACGCGGTGGTGCTGCTGTACAAATGGGTTTTGTCGTTGCTGATGCCCGATTTGAAAGAGCTTGCAGACCGCTTTGGGCAGTAGGACCAGAAACAGGTGGTCAAAATCAAGATAGAGTCAGTTTGTATTGGCTTCGTGGCAGGATTGCCTTGTTGTTCGGAATTTCATTTAGTGTGAACGATGGCAACAGCCCCACTGCTGCGTGCCTTTCTAGTTGGAAAAAGTTGTATATACAGAATTCATTGGGGCCCAGGAAGCAGGCAAATGTTTGCTCGGGATGTTTTTTTTTGCCGAGTGCTTTCAATACCAGTTCCTGGCTACCCAACCCTAACATTGACGTAGTTGTTTTGAGTAAATACGGTTGTTCCAGGTAATTTTGTAGTCTGACACGGGTCCCCTCATAATATCAGCAGACCATCGTTCGAAATTAACCCGGAGATGAGGTCCTCCAAGATAGTATTTGAGTGTTGGAGATATTTCACATTTTTTGCTTTGGAGTTCCATGCTTCAGGTCACCACATTGTGATTTCAGTTCAGGCTGGTAACTTCTTTGATAATTCAGGCTGATGAAAAGAACACGGGTTTAAGGGCTCCAGAAATACATTTGTCACCTGTGAAGCAGGCCCTAACACCGTTGCTGCGCAGTGTTGCTTGCGCCCCTCCAAGAGGATCAAGCTGGGCCCTCCTGTGACACTTTGGGAACCTGTGGAGCATGAAGTTTCAGAAAGATGATGTTTCTTTCTTTCTTCCTGTTGCGCAGCAATGGGTGAAGAGAAAGTAGATAAAGCCAGAAATTCGAACAGACTGAACACCCATAAGCTGGAAATCGTGATGACCTAGCAAGGGTTTTTGGCACAGAAACTCATCGATTGGAGGCCACCTTGCATGTTTCATCGTAAAGTCCTTTCGGTTTGCCCGTCACATGACCTGCTATACCCTTTGGTAATCAAAAATGGCGTAAGGATAAACAGAGGATATCATTAAAAAAAGATGTAAACATGTATTCCGCTTGCCATGTTTGACACATTTTGACGCCGAAGGGATGAAGGGTAAGTCCCAGTGTCACAGGGGGCAGTTGCAAGGAATTCGTCCACAGCTGGAGATGTGAACCGCACGGGGTTTCTATGTGGGGATGTGATTCGCATGATTAATATGATGGAAATTTGTATGACCATCGCAAATATATGCAAATATGTGGATGTGCAAGGGCATTATTATTACCATTGTGAGGAGAAGCAATATAAGCCAAGCTGATATGAGCATGAACTGGTTGTAAGTTGCTATAGCGTATAACAGTCATCAGTTGGACGTCATTTTCCAGGGAAGGTGTAGAATCAAGTCACCATAGACAATGGTGCCTACTGGAGGAACCATGATTTCTGTGACCTAATCCTTTTTTTCCGCGAGCCTCTTGATTCTACATGCATAAGCAGCGAGAATGCCTTTCAAAATAGGTTGACAATTTGGTTTCCAGTGGGATCTAGATCTGCATGTGGAAGTCAAAGTGACAATCAAGAGAAGTTTTATTCATAAGCACCGACTATAATGCAGCGCCATGCTTTGCAGAAATCTCCGAAGCTTTATTTATTCAGAAGAACACCATCGAGATATTGAGAAAGCCTTGGCTAGTATCAAAAATGATTCAGATCATTAAGGTTCATTAAGTACGAGTCAAAATTTAGGGCCAAGGCTCCCGCAGATGTCCACCAGTGGACTGATCTTCACTGGGATAATCCGAGAATCCCTCGAGCTGGATCATGGTCAGTAGGACGCAGATGCAACTTGGATGCTTATTGTTCTCTTGAACTTACGGCTCTCCCATTGGCAGTCATGTTTGAAAGAGGACTTTAGAGTTGATACTGCAGAGACTCGGTTTCACGAAATTCACTGGATCCAAGTTTCGCAAAATCCTTCAATGAAACCTTCGACATGAAACTCTGGAGCTCAAAAAAGAGTCAATCTAGATCCCTAGAGCTTCAGTTGCTATCATTTGCTACAGCAGGCAGTGCTTTGGATCAGCGTCAGATCTCCTGGTGATTGGATTTGTTTTCTTCCAGGGCGGACGGGAATGCACCAAAAAAACGTGGCTTCAGCAAAGCTTGAACTGCGTTCCCATGCTGCCAGTCACATGGAAGAGACTGTGAACCTATGATTTTCCACGACTATACGCGGAAAACAAGCAGCCCGCAACACGAGTCCTGCAGGCGATACGTTCGTTGGGTTGGTTGAGGAAATGGGAACATTATCTTCAAAGCATTAATTCCAGTAAAATATATGAATACAAGGTATTCTTGTAATTTTACAACATCTCTTGCGGGAATGGAAGCGAGTTTGGGTGTTTACATAACCAACACTCGGATTTTTTTTGAGCTAGCCGCTACTAATTTTCAACCCCGAAGAAATCAACAGCGTGATTTCTTTTGTGGCGCCTGCAGGAGTGTCAGATTATGTCAGATTATAATATATATATATATGTATATATATATATATATCATTTGGCAATCAAATTCATATATATATATACATCTATACCTTATACATCATCCAGATGCTGGCTTCATTGTTTGATTTCTGTTACTTTGCTTATCATCCTTGCCGTGATGTTCATCTATTTCTACATGGTACATCATGGTACCTCCCCATGTCATGTTGAGGCGATCCTGGGCCGCCACTGGGGGGTCCAGGTACTATGTGAAGCACCGCGCTCACAATGAACGGGGTCCTTCAACGTGGCCGTCTCGGGGGCGGGGGCGAAGCAGACTCAATGTACATACGATGGTGCATTGTATGTGAATGAGCTGTATTGTTCTTGAATGAATTACAATGGTTTTCAGATGTTGTTTGCTTTTAATTCAAGTTTGACCTCATCATTGCCGAATCAAACTAGTGGTGCTATGTTTTACTCCTCTAATTCCAAAGGGATCTAAAGGGTTGGTTTTATGGCAAGGTTGTCAGCAAAAATGAGCCATGACCAAATTGGACACATCACCCATAGGACCTCAAACTTCCTACCGAGCACGCTCAAAGCATGGAATATGTCGACGGCCTTCTTTGAGACAACCAGGATTTCTATCACAATGAATGACCCCAGTCGAGATAGACACATATATAACTATCCATAACTATCCTCTGGCAATTGGCTGCAGTTTTCTATAGATGGACCATGGCTTCCATAGCTATGTTAAACTGTCGGAGGGTAAGATAAACAAACAAAAAACATTCAAAACAATTATTGGTTCTTGGCCAATTACATATTCATAAGGCTAAGCCCATGTTTGGTGGTATTGGGGGAATACAACATTCATGGTTTGTTGCAGATGTTCTCTTATCCCAATGGGTTGGTTTAAGGGAAACTCCGGGCTTGCAACTGCATGGATTCCTCCAGGGGCTTGATGGTTTCCTCGCAAGAAAAACATGTTCAAAGCAACATTTGGAGCGTTGGGGATCTGGAGATTGGATATCACGTGGAAAAGCATCATATGAATGGTTTCCTACATAGTTTCTTATGGTTTCCTATGAAAAACATGCTTTCCATGGGTTTCCATGGGTTTCCTATTTTTTTCAGCTTGATACCAACCCATTGACCCACTGACCTTGACGTTTCATGGTGTCTCCTCAGGTGGAGTGAGACCACCCTGGGCATCGCCACACGGAGTCGGCCACCTGAAAGGCGGGGAATCCGGGGAAAATGGCCAGGTGAACTGTTGGTGTTGGTGGTGGATGTCAACATATGTGTATATATATATATATAGTCATAATATAACATAATTCCATGATATCATATTTCATATCATATACATTTTTTTTAATACTTATGTTTTGATTATATAATTATATACCATGTATGATTATTATATGATATATCACATATATATATATATATATACAAAAGATATACTGTACATTTATTTGCAGTGGTGTGTAGGCACCTGTGGATAATGTTGTGTGCACTTACTCTTTTAATTATTTCTTAACACCAACATGCATGGGTATAACTCAGTTGTTTAGTAATTTGCTATTTTGTGGTTGCTGAATGTTGACGTTCAATATGTTACATGCTGAGGTTTTCCTATTTTATGATTTGCCAAGGGTTTGGACTTACACCATCAGGGAAGACTTGCACAGATGATTTTGATGCATTGGAGGCAGCAGTTTACATACTTCGGACTCTGGATGAGATAGTTCTGATATGCTCTGATAATCCAAGATGTTGGAAGGTTGCGAGGGGCACTGGCCTTGTGCGAAGGAGTAAGCTGAGTAAGCATTGCACGGTCAAGATTCCAAGGGACAGCTTAGTTTGAAGAATCTTTCGCCCTGCACTGAGATGCACTTCTCATCATTTTTCTTACAAGCGCCATATCGACATTTTTTTCGCAACATCTTCGCTGCAGTTCCAAGTTTCAAGGCTTATCAAGTGAGAAACAAAGCAGGGTGTCTCAAAACTATCAACAAGTTTTGCCACCAACCCTGAATGAACATCCCTGAAGAATATTATACAGATATGGACAACATATAGATATCAGCCAAGGGCAGCCTTGTCACGTCAACAGTTCCTTCACAGCCCCAATGGCACCCTTTCCGCGTCGTTCTCGCGCATTGGCACCTGGTTTGGCTGTGTTGGTGAGCTTTGGGAGGAGTTTCCTTGGTCTTTTAGCTGCATTATAGGCTCGCAATGGCTAAGAAAGTTGGAGGATGGAACAATGTATGTATGTATGTATGTATGTATGTATGTATGTATGTATGTATGTATGTATGTATGTATGTATGTATGTATGTATGTATGTATGTATGTATGTATGTATGATACATGTATGTATGTATGTATGTATGTATGTATGTATGTATGTATGTATGTATGTATGTATGTATGTATGTATGTATGTATGTATGTATGTATGTATGTATGTATGTATGTATGTATGTATGTATGTATGTATGTATGTAGTTGTAAGTATGTGAAGTATGTAAGTATGTAATATTAGTAAGTATGTAAGTATGTAAGTATGTAAGTATGTAAGTATGTAAGTATGTAAGTATGTATGTATGTATGTATGTATGTATGTATGTATGTATGTATGTGTGTGTGCATGTATAATTTCACCTTTTTTTCCGGCGGAAATCCAATATGTTCCACTTCTTTTGCTGACCCCCACGGGAATTCCGAATCTCAGAACTGGATCCATACGAAGCTTCACTGGCTGGCAGCACGAGGGGGTACTCAAGGACTCCCAGAAATGGATGAAAATTGAGCTTTATTCAGTTGCAGTTAGAATCAGCACTATTTAGTAGTGATCCAAGTGGTTCCCCGGATGTCCTTTCTCCATCTTTCTCCTATATTCGAATCAGAGGACTCAAGGCACCAAAGTGACCCTCAGGTCCATGGAAAGCTCTCCCTCCACGCTCTCCGAGCTCTCCTCCCGGAGATGCTCCGGAAGCCCGAAGCCTCCGAAGCCTCCGAAGCTCGAAAAGCCCGAGGCCACTGAGCCTTGGACATGAGATGACTATGATGACTTGGTGTTTGAAAATGGGCTATACCGGCTATACCCCAGCAGTCCAAAGTTTTTTAGAAATTGTTATTGGGAATAATGATGACTGACATTATACCCCCGCAGCTACGTTTGTTTTGGGGCTTTGTTGATATGGGGATAATGATGATTAACCAGTGCCTGTTGTCAGACAAAGTCTGCCATGCATCCGCTAAGGACCATGGCAAGTTTCATGGCGATGCCTATGGCGTACATTGCAGGACTCATGGGTGGGGCAGACCAACCAGTGTAGGGTTTAATTTAGTAAAAGGTTACAATGGTAATAGGTTTTTGGACAATGTTTGGCCACAAGTTTGGCAATGTATTACGGTAACTGCGAATGCAAATTCTTTGGGGGGAGAGGGCACCTGCGATTGATTGATCATGAACTGGCACATCTCCACAAAGGCAGACATGTTCATTTCATGAGCTTCGGGCTTCGGGCCCCAATTTTTGAATGGAGCATAATGGAGCCACAAAGTTTAGCGGAAAGGTCTCACCAAGTGGAACGCTAAGCGCTCACCCCCTCTACATGATATTCCTCCCGAAAAGTTTCACATGATGTGCAAAGTCATGTCATTCAGTTCGTTGACAAGAAAGAAATCAGGTTGGCAATCTTGGTCATTTGAGCTTCCAGAAATGACGCTTTCTTGATATTTCTTGCGTTTGTGTTGTTTGTGTGTTTTTTCAACTTTGTCACTGCGTGATTGCAAACCATTTCCACAGGAAGCAAAGCTCTTCCGGAACTTTGTCGCAGCCAGAGGTCAGCTTGATAGATGCAATGGATTGGCAGGAATAAAATGTGATTCATAGAATCGCACGAGTAGGGTAGATGCAACCTATGCTCCTGATTTCAACATGGGTAGCAAATCTGCAGGCAGATGAAGCCTCTTTCATTTGGACATTTGTCTTCTGGATTTGGTGCACTTCATCCATCATAGTTTCCCACGAGGAGACTGAGCCTATGCCCACAAGGTCATGAAACCCTTGTTGTATCAGTGCATTCAGCATCCAGCCCTTTTGACATCTTTTGAACATAACAATATCATAAAATCATATAAAATCACCTTTGATTCACAAGCTCTTTGTACTATTTGTTACTTGGATTATGGTCCCCAAATGATGGGGACACCCATTGCCATGGTACCTCTTCATGTAATTCTCGTAGGAATTTTAATTCTCATAAGACCTACTCATTGGGTATTCACATCAGATTCCAAAACCATTTCCTGCACAAAAGTTCGGTTTGGAGTTTGGACTGGTGCCTGCAGTCTAGTTTCAAAAATTTTCAAGCCATCCCCCAGATTTTCCACGCGCCAGGTACGTTACATGTCGCTCCATGGCAGCTCCCGGCGGCTTTCACCTGGGTGCACCGGAGGATGGTGGTGCTGCCATGGCAATGCTAGCGCTGGGCGCCTGGCTCGCGGTGATGTATGCGATTCAGCACTCCCTAGCGCCTTGGTGAAGGTCCACAGGGGCCCCCTGGTGTTGTCATGGGATGTCATGGGGCAACTGGATCATGCTAGGAGTTACATGGAGTTACTATGTGTAGTTTTTTTGGGGGGGAATATGGTGCAAATAGCTGTTGAACATTTGAAGTTTCGGATGTTTGTTTTTGGCCGCAGATTGAAATCCACGACCTGGGATTCGCATGGATTCGCTGTAAAGCAGCCAGTAGGTTTGGGGATGACTGCTCAGATCTTACGTCTTGAATGCATTTGCCTTCCTGGCGTTGGCAGAGTTTGTCCTCCTGGCATTGGCAGAGTTTCCCCCATAGTGAGCCCCGCTCGAACTCGAACTCGAACTGGAACCCACCCCCCCCGGAAAAAAAAACCAAGCTTTCTGAGTCCGGACTCGCGGTCCACATGCTCGAACTCGAGTTCGAACTGGCGGTGACACAGTTCGAACTCGCGTTCGAACTCGCCCCAGAGCAGTTCGAACTCGATTTTGACCTGGCGGCGTCTGCGTCGAACTCGAACTCGAACTCGCACCCCCCCCCCGGGAAAAAAAAACAAGCTTTCTGAGTCCGGACTCGCGGTCCACATGCTCGAACTCCAGTTCGAAGTGGCGGTGACACAGTTCGAACTCGCCTTCGAACTCGCCCCAGAGCAGTTCGAACTCGATTTTGACCTGGCGGCGGCCGCGTCGAACTCGAACTCGAACTCGACCCCCCCCCCGGAGGGGAAAAAAAAACCTTTCCGAGTATGCATTCACGGTCAAGCTCTGAAAGACTGCGAGCTGTCAGATAGCCATCTGGTGATGCAGATTATTTTCCTGGGGGTCCACTACCAAATTAATAATCTTGAAATCACCGATTTGATCCGATTTGCACATGCTAACCCTGCGTCCCTTCGAACCCAGGAAAACAATCTTGGTTCAAAATATGTCAAAAATATTTCAAGATTATTTTGCAAACGTCCGGCCACAGGAAAGTAATGTTCATGGGGGGGGAGAGTTCACTGGAACATATATGTACGTCAAACCCCAGGAAAAAAATGCCCCATGATTATTTGAGGGGGTATGGTTCTTTACATGACTCTAAAAGGTTGGGAACCAGGATTTAAATCTGTGGAAATGGTGCTAAAATGATTATAATGCTGAATGTGCGTAGGTTAGACATCAGGAACAAATTCCAAAGATACATTTGTCCTTGCAAAGGGGTACATTTGTCTTGAACGCGCGCCCAAATTTGCAAAACACATATTTTTTGCTGAAAATACATTTGTCCTAGCAAAAGGCTGCAACCACATATGTTCAGCTTCACCAAGCAAAAAGGTGACTTGAAGAGGCCGAGGCGCAGGTGTCAAAAATAAAATCCAAGGGGCTGGACCTTTTTTTGGCTGAATACATGCGGATGATCTTCAAAGGTTGGCCCCACAGGAAAAAACCAGGCCAACCATCCATAGACAGGAAAGGATGGGACAAATTCAAGAATTTTGTGTCAATGCGCGCTCAAAATGCAAAACACATGTTTTTTTGCTGAAAATTAATTTGTCCTAGCAAAAGGCTACAACCACGTATGTTCAGCTCCACCAACCAAAAAGGTGACTTGAAGAGGCCGAGGCGCAGGTGTCAAAAATAAATTCCAAGGGGCTGGACCTTTTTTGGCTGAATACATGCGGATGATCTTCAAAGGTTGGCCCCACAGGAAAAATGTCGCATCACCAGGTCAACCATCCATAGATAGTAAAGGATGGGACAAATTCAAAAATTTTGTGTCAACGCGCGCCCAAAATTCAAAACACTGTTTTTTTTTGAAAATACATGTGTCCTTGAAAAAGTCTACAACCACATATGTTCAGCTTCACCAAGCAAAAAGGTGACTTGAAGAGGGCGAGGCGCAGGTGTCAAAAATAAAATCCAAGGGGCTGGACCTTTTTTTGGCTGAATACATGCGGATGATCTTCAAAGGTTGGCCCCACAGAGGAAAAAGTCGCATCACCAGGCCAACCATCCATAGATAGTAAAGGATGGGACAAATTCAAGAATTTTGTGTCAACGCGCGCCCAAAATGCAAAACACATGTTTTTTTGCTGAAAATAAATTTGTCCTAGCAAAAGGCTACAACCACATATGTTCAGCTTCACCAACCAAAAAGGTGACTTGAAGAGGCCGAGGCGCAGGTGTCAAAAATAAATTCCAAGGGGCTGGACCTTTTTTGGCTGAATACATGCGGATGATCTTCAAAGGTTGGCCCCACAGGAAAAAAGTCGCATCACCAGGCCAACCATCCATAGATACAAAATGATGTGACAAATTCAAGAATTTTGTGTCAATGCGCGCCCAAAATGCAAAACACATGTTTTTTGCTGAAAATAAATTTGTCCTAGCAAAAGGCTGCAACCACATATGTTCAGCTTCACCAACCAAAAAAGGTGACTTGAAGAGGCCGAGGCGCAGGTGTCAAAAATAAACTCCAAGGGGCTAGACCTTTTTTGGCTGAATACATGCGGATGATCTTCAAAGGTTGGCCCCACAGGAAAAATGTCGCATCACCAGGTCAACCATCCATAGATAGTAAAGGATGGGACAAATTCAAGAATTTTGTGTCAATGCGCGCTCAAAATGCAAAACACATGTTTTTTTGCTGAAAATAAATTTGTCCATGCGAAAGGATGCAAACACATATGACATATGTTCAGCTTCGCCAACACATAAAATGAGCTGGAAACGTTCGGATCCACGATTTAATATGTTCCAGGCACGGGTTATTTGCTAAAGTTGTGGTCCGTGCAGCCCAGGAAATTGTTAACACGTGATTTAATTTGGGTGGTCGTGAAATTGCGGTAAGCCCCAAAGCATCTGATTCTTAATTTTACATACTCCCAAGTAATTGGGAATGTGGTAATTCATTCGATAAACAATTGAGTTTTGGGTTCGTCTTCAGATAGCCCCCACTCGAATCTGTCATGGGCTTCGAAACATTCATATGTAAACCTTGGGTCCCAGGAAATAAGTCGGTTAACAGCACGTGTTGAGGGGTTGTTTGTTGAGCATTATATAAGGGTTGGCACTCAGGAATTTAATTGATATTAGAGGGGGAGAAATGCCTTTCTGGAAACCTTAAGCGTCAGGAAATTATTGCCTGCAAGTTTTATTCGTCTGAGACTATAAATTCCGGCAAGTAAGGTCAAGCACCAGGATTTTAATCTTAAAAAGGCCAGGACCCCAAAAATTAATCACGATATTTTCCCAGGACAGGACTCTCCGGAGTGCACCAGATGGATATCTGTCAGCCGGGAAGTCAGGTGCCAGGAATTAATTTTTTTCCGTATCAGATTGAGGGGGGGAGATATGGCATGTTACCAACGCAAGCATCCAGGAAATAATTTTCTTACTTGGCTATCAGAGGGGTAAATTTATTGGATGTTGAAAATCTCCCGACCTAGAACTCAAACTCGAACTCGAACCCTCCCCCCCTCCCCTCGACGATGACAGTTCGAACCTCGAATCGAACTCGAACTCACCCCCCCCCCCAAAAAAAAAAAAACTCCCGACCTAGGACTCGAACTCGAAAACTCCACCCCCCCCCCCGCCCTCGAACGAGACAGTTCGACCCCTCGAACTCGAACTAGAACTCGAACTCCCCCCCCCTACCCTGGAAGGATAACAATGCGAACCTCGAACTCGACTCGAACCCCCCCCTCTGGAACAATAACAATCGAACCTCGAATCGAACTCAAAACCCCCACCCTCCCCAACGAAAAGCAAATATCCCACTGACCTCGAACTCGAACTCGAACTCCTCCTCGAAAAATCCCCCCCCCTCCCCTCGAACGATGACAGTTCGAACCCTCGAACTCGAACTCGACTCGAACTCGAACTAGAACTCCACCCCCCCCCCGCCCAAAAAAAAAATTCCTCCCGACTCTCGAACTCGAACTCGAACTTCCCCCCCCCCCATCCCCTCCGAAGCAGACGTACGATGCCAGTTCAAACTGGTATCGAACAGTTCGAACCCCCCCGGGTTAACTCGAACCCTCGAACTCGAACTCGAACTCGAACCCCCCCCCTCCCCTCGGACACCTACTACGGCAGTTCGAACTCGAATCGAACAGTTCGAACCCCCCCGGGGCACACTCTGGTTTCCCCAAAGTCTTTCATCCTTGGCCCAGCAGACTTGCTACGTGTGTCCAACAATATGGCATGCCTCAAACCCATTGGCTGTAGTTGGCTACCACATGCTACGAACTTTTTGCGTTTAGGCACCTAGAAGTGCCAAGCATCGCCAAATATAGAATGCACTTTCCACGCGCATTCATCTCGTCAAAGTTTCCAGGTTCATAGCGAGTACTGTACGACTTCTCTATCCTCTTTGGGTTGGTATTCTGAAAGCTATTGATGATTTTCTTTGCAGCTGCGGGAAGCACCAGAGCTCTTTAAATTACCGAGGTTTCTGTTCCATTCCTTGCTGGGAGCCAATGCGAGTACTTTCCCATCGTCGCGACCTTCATCGCTGGTTACGCTGTGATTGTGCTGGAAGAGCAAACTGGAATAACCAAAGCAACTCGGATGAAGGATGATCAGCTGTGGTTCTGCTGTCAATCCGTGTCGTCAGTGGCCAGTGGCTCGTTACATCGCTAGAACAAAAGGGAGTGGTCTTCAAAAAATTGTCCACATAGGCATAGAAGATGGCAGCGGCATATTATATATATATAATAATTAATAATTCACATTCCTGAGATTTCAATGGGGCAAGCAGCATTTCACAACTAATTAGTATAGCAGACTATCACTTTACATGGTTAACCCACCTAGTTAATCAACCACGGTTTATAAATGCAGGGTTGACATTAGTACCCTCCGGTAGTCAAACGTTGTAATTTCAGAATTTAAATGGGAAAATCGGAGAACCATATTCCAGCATGCCATGTTTGAGTACCAGAGGCTATAGTCATCAGTCATCCCCAAACAGAAAAGTACACACTATCATAATATATTGTAGTCAAATTAGCAGGGGATGTACTTTTCTATCTTGGGATGACTATCATCTAGTCATCGCCAGTTTTCAACTATATCACCGGCAAAGCCCCGCCGAGGCAGCCACGGCGCTGGTTCTGGGCGTTCTGCTGTGGGCCCTGGTGGGCACAAGCGTCGCCCTCGAGAACTTTAACGTTGCGGTGGAAGGGACGTTGGAACCTTGAAAGAGTGGTACAAAAACATGTGGGTCAACTACCCTGTTGCAAGTTGTATAAAATAACTACGGAAATAATGAAACATCCACCATGTTTAAGTAGGAAATTTATCCATAAATGGCAAATTGTCCATATCTATGGATTGCCACAGGGTAATACATAATGTTGACGTTTGATTAGTAACTGCCCCTAAGGCCCTGGCCCTTATCTTTGTGATAAATCAAGTTTCATGGGCCTTGAGGGGCCAATGTCCCTGGATCAAGCCCTTGTTGATCAATTAGGGAGGTTCCTCCCAAAAATGGTGAGAAATTTCGCTACAGCAAAGGGAGAAGCAAACCCTGCCCAGAAACAGCAACTTCCGAAGATTTGTTCATAAGATTACAGTATCTAACAAAACCATGATCTTAATAACATAATATAAAATATATACGTATATATATATTGATATAGATCTATATTATATATTGATATAGATCTATATTATATAATTATATATAATCAATTAATCAATTATTATATAAATATTATTAATATAATATATCATTGATAATATATATATAATATAATATAATATAATAAAATATATATGTGTGTTTTATAATATATATATATATAATACATCTAATATATAATATCTAATATATATATAGTATAAATGATATATATAATACATATATATTATATAATATATTAATATATATATAGTATATAAAATGCATTTAACATATATAATATATATAATATATATAACATATATAATATATATAATATATATAATATATATAATATATATTATATATAATATATATAATATAATATATATAATATATATAATATATATAATATATAATATAAATACTGTATTTTAAATATATATATATATTCTATATATAATATATATAATATATATATTATATAATATATATTATATATATTCTCACCTCTTGGTTTCATCTTCTCATACTCTCTAATCTATTCATCTCAAATTCTTCTCTCTCATTCTCTTCTTCTCTTCTTCTCTCTACTTTTATCTGTATAACATATTTTGAATATACATACTCGTCAAAATCATTTTATATCTATATTAATAATTATGTTTCATCTCATCATTCTCATCTCCAATCCATAATCATAAACAATCAATAATCAAGCAATAAATCATATTGATCTATATATAATAAACAATAAATAATCAACAATAAATAATATATTGTATATAATATATTTAATATTGTATATATTATATATTTATTTTTATTGTATATATATATTCCTTTTATATATAAATATATATATTGACTATATATTATATCTAGTTTTTGAAAATATGAATAATATATTATATATATATATTTATATATAAATATATATTTTATAATTCATATATATATATATTATTTTATATATTATATATTATATATTATACATATTTTATATTTTACATATATATTATTTAAATATATTATTTGAATATATTATATATTTCTTTTTGAAAAATATATATCATATTTCTATTTTATATATATACATATTTTGTATTTTATATTATATATATATATTATTATATATATATTATGTCTATTATATATTATATATATATTATTTATGATATATATATATTGTATTATATATAATATGTCTATTATATTGTTTATTTATTTTATATATTATATTTTGATTTATATATATATTGTATTATGTATATATATTTGTTTAATAAATATATATATATATATGTTTTATTTTTTTTTAATATATATATTATATATATGTTATATTATATATATATATTATTTATAAATATATAACATATAAATATATATATATATATATGTGCAAAGTATAATTACATCATTTTCGGAAGATTTCCCAAGTCATGCATTCTATTGGAGTTGCGTGTGTCGGCTTCCAGTTCTCAGGAGGATGTTGCAGAGGTGGTTTTTTTCCTGCTCGGTGCCCTGAGTATCGTGGAGATCATGGACGCCCGGCGGGAAAAAACCTGGGAGTCAAGGCCTGGAAAAGCTGTTCCAAGGACCTCAACATAGATGATTAATATAGAATATTTATATAATTAGGGCCTCATCATTATATATTCTGATTTATTTGGCATATTCGACTTGGGGGAGGCATCCCATAGATTGCTGACAAGCTGGTGAATTGATATATGAATTGATGTGATTTGCAATTTGCCAAAATATTTGTTTTGCGGCTGGTCAAAATCATCTGCCAAAAAACGGAATATTTTCACCTGAGTGAACCGGTGTCAAAATGGATACATTGTGCCTGGCAGAAGTTAATGATTATATATTGAAGCGAGGGCTCCTTCATGTTCATTTTCCTTTGGAGACAAGTAATTATTCCATGCTTGCCCATATCCCTCACCCATTTGTCATCCTTGCCCCAAGACTTTCCAAAGAAACATCTCTTAAGATCTCTTGAGCTGATGGATGATGTAGATTGCGTCCAATCAAATGTCCCACTGAGGTCACTTGCCCGACATGAGTTCTTACATAGGCCTCACTAATCAAAGATGTCAAGTACTCCAACGCTTCCCCGCAAAAAGAGGAGCCCAGCAAATCATCGGCAAATTTCAGCCAGGATGCTCACAAGGGCTTTGACATCATCACCAAAGCCATCCAAGCAAAGACTCAGAAGGAGCTGATGGTCGTCATTGGTGCCCATGTCATGCCATGGTCGTTGGGGCGGATTGTGAGGTAGACTCACAAGAATAAACCATCCCCTATTGACCCTATTGAGGTGTAGGATTCGGTTGATTATCGGGGATTTCCCTGTATTTCGAACCTTATTTTGAGAGACAAAAAGACCCGATATGGTTGGCGAGATGGTTTCCTATTGGGTTTGCCACATTACGGGCTAATTTGGGTATACAAGCTGCGGTTTGAGCGGCATGCCAGGGGATCAGGGCCTTTCAAGATCTGCGCTTCGCAGGTTGTTCTCCTGCGGGTGTTTCTTTGTGTTCTAGGCAACATGCGCCAGCGAATAATTAGACATGAAGCTGGCTATGATGGGACCTTCTGCGGATCCCATCGAAACATAGATTGAAACACCAAGCATTTCTTGGTACCATGCTTTTCCCAGACTCCAAGACCAATCTGAGCTCCAGACTGTGCTGAGGTGTCCTGACATTCTTGCTGTCATCTGTGCTCAACAACCTTACTGTTCCTTGACCTCAAAACGAGCAGCTGCCAGGGTTTGAAACGGTGTCAATTGCGTGTCCAAAATATACGAATGTAAGATCAAAGAGCCCAAAACATCCAAAAACACTTCGGCACCTCTTAGAAGGGCCTGGTGCATTGTCCACCTATTTTTGGATATTGACCCCAGGATATAGAATAGGATAGCCCAGGGATGTGATCCATCGCCAAATGCAGGTGGTGATCGTCATGGTGTCGCTGCTGCAGAAGTTGGTGAAGGACGTCACTTTGGGTGCCAGGGTTTAAACACAGTGTTCAGCCAGCGCAAATGTTGCTTGAGTCACTTAAGTCCTGAAAACGGGAAAGTACAAAGGCCTTTACCCATTTTTTTTCAGCATGATTGTTTCATTTTTGTTGATCCCTTTACGTGCCTTTTAATTTGGAGCTCTGTGGTTTACATTGCTTGGAAGGATTGACCCGGTTTATCATTTGAAATCAATGCGGAAACAAGCAATCCAACAAATTACTCCTTCAGAAGGGGACGGAGAGGGGAGAGAGGGAGAGAAAGAGAGAACGAATCACAGAAAACATTGTCCTCCGGCAAATGTTCATATAATGTTAGGATATGTTGTTGTTGTTTTTTGATAATTTTCTGAAATTGTTCTCCCAGATTACGTGTTGAAAGGAGGAATTGCATGCAGCTCTCGTCGCATGATCTTCGCCTCACCCACGCCCTAGTTAATCTAAGACATTCTAACTAAGACCATATACATTTGCAGAGGAGTTCATACATCATGACAAGCATTAGCCATCGATTCACCAACTATTTGTGCATATGTATTTGCAAACATATATTGTATAATTATATATATAATATATAGTAGTAGCAGTAGTAGTTGCATGCAGTTGCCGCATGTTGCCTTTGTCTAGTATAATTATTTCAAACATCATTCAAGACAAAGTTTCGAATTTGCATCTCTATATAGATGCAAACACTTTAAAAACGGCGCGAGACTGGTTATCAATCCCCGGTGCCATTGCGTGGTGGGCTCACATTTTTGCCAATATTTCTGGATGTTTATCTCATTTTGCCTCAGTCATTTATACCGTAAACCGTAAGCCACCTAAGTGGGATGCAAACGATCAATTGCTTACATTTGTTGCTTGAATCACTTAAATCCCGTTGACCTTCCTGGTCACTATACCCATGATCATGGAATCCCATGGGCATCTATGTAACGTGCAATCAACATCAAGCCACTATCCCACCCCGGGGATCCCCCCGGGCTTCGCTCGTTACAGGATGACGACTTCCGCATGAAGTTGGGCGGTTTGGTGGTCGTGGCCTCGAACGCCGGCGGGGCATGGACGCCCATAGGCGACATTACCACCACCATGCTCTACATCAGCGGACAGGTGGCTCTATATTTATTTCAGCCATTTTTACAGCAATTTCAATGTGAAACATGCCGCGCATGTGTGTGTCTGTGTGCGCGCGCTCGTGTGTGTGTGTGTGTTTGTGTGTTTGTGTGTGTGCATTGTATAAATAAATAAGATAGTTAATTAAGGTCCATGGAATTTTGGGGTGCTCAGGTGCGATTCAAGCCAAGTTGGACATGAATAATTATACATGTTTACCATCATTTCGGGCCACAATTCAACAATTTAGCATTTTTGGGGGGGAAATACCTTTCCGCTGGTGCGTTGATGCGTGGACCCTCACGCTCGCCCACGCTGCGAGTTGAGACGCCAGGTCACAACAGTTCCACTTTTGGCCAACTTGTTCCTCCCCAGCAGCCTATGTTTGGTGGGAGCCGTTGGTTATGAGTATCTTCAAATGGCCGATGAGCCCTTCAGTGACACAGCGGAATCAAAGACTGAAGAGGTGCCCGAAGGACAGGCCTTAGTTTCTTGGCATCTGTCCTGGCATTCAAGCTCCAGGAATTCCAATATTTGAAGATCTCCAATGCGAATGGAATGCCAATGGACCTCAATTAAGATAGGACATGACCATCCGACCATCTTGTGGGGACAAAGATGGACAGAGCGTCAGGATTCAGGATGCCCCCCAGAGGAAAAATCCAGGCACGTCAAATTTTGACCCGTTCAACAAGCAGCAAAAACAGCATATGTTCGAAGATTTCAGTTTGCAAGATTGTTCCAGGGAAGAACATACCAATTTGAACGTTGTTCAGGGGCATTCACCCCCACCAAAAAGTGACCCCCAACGAGAGTCTTATGATGCGTTGGTGGATTAGCGGTTGTTTGGTTCCCCATGATTCCAGCCATAACAGATCACAGAATGTCCAGCATCTTCGCCTCAGCCGAGGTCTTTTGGGGTGGTCTCTTTGGCATGATTTCGGTTCCCATCTTCACTGCCTTAACACATTGTCCCGCCTGGAGTGGAATGATGTTAGTCCTGGGCTTGCTGGGCATGAGCCTTGCCGTCTGATCTGAAAAATCTGGAAAGTCCGGATCACTGGAGTTTCAGCATGACTTTACAAAGTATGTTCCAGGGAATTCCAAGTATGACTTGATTTTACGTGATTGTACTTTTACGTTTTTTTCCTGCGCATACCCAGTATCATTTATAGTGATTATACAAGCAAAATGCCACAATGCATACTGCACAATTCTGAGATTTTGGGGCTGAATCCCTGCATCACGTGAGCTCTCCCCAGGATCAGCTCCCTGCTTCATGGCCCAGAACATAAGCGATTCTCGTTAAGAGCAGCGCTGGCCGCTGGGTAGCATGGGTCCATGGGGCATGGGGTGAACTCGCCCAACATGCTGATGTTTTATGAAGGAAATCGGTAAACTGTTTTGGGTAAACATAACATCCTCAATCTCAATGGCTACATAAACATCACGCATCTATATTACGTAATCTTATGATATCTTATGCGTATTTATATATATATATATGTGTGTGTGTTTCTTTGTTTAAACCATATGTCCAACGACGATGATCATCATCATTATCTCATCCCAAGACGAATAACGAATGAGGGTTTCCATTGCCAGGTTGGATTAATGATAATCATTGATAATTAAAGGAGGTTAAAGTCTTCAACACTGGCTCATTGGATGAATATTTGTCCGGGGGATTACTTGCAGGAAACATCAGGAAACCCCTGTATCAACCGGAGACTGTGGTTCCTGTCAATGTTGCTTTATTGTAAAAATCAATCGCATGACCATAGCCAAGGCTCGATCATTTTTTGACCTCAGCACTTGGGAGGCAGTTCCTGTTGGGGGATGTTATGGGGCTATTACCATACTTAATTACTCATTAATAACCCCAAGTGGTACGCTCCATCTCTAGGCACGAGTGGAAGTCTCCGACGCTTTGTTTTTCCTGGGTGTGCTCTTTGCTGTAGGGGCCTTGGAGAAAGTGGGTGCCTTGGTGAGGTCACTGGAGCCAAGGTGGCCTAAACAGCTCTGTTGCTGATTTTTTTGGGGTAACAGTAACAGGGGGAACCACCAATGGGTGAATGGATAGAAAGGGTATTAAAAAAAGGCGCCAGAGGATGTCGATAAGAAATCCCTTAAGCCTGCGGCCAAGGATTGCTGAAGGACTTTGCTTTTCAACTGAACAGTTGCTGGGCTGGTGCTTTCCGTCATTTGGGTCCCTGGCACCCTGGTGAGCACCTAAATAGCTGTCAAATGCATGTTCACTGATGTTGCTCTTCAGGTATTGACACATCCCACCGGTCGAAATATGCTTTTCATTTTGATTTTCCAAGAATATTTGCCGCTGACATTTCGATTTTCCAAGAAAACACGCTAGACTATATTAATAGTGACCTGTATTGGGGATCTCTGCGGACCCTGTCCCCTGCCAGTCGGCCCGCAACCAGGTTGGCTGGGCGGTGCGGAGGCCTTAGTGGCGATCATGCTGGGTTTCACTTCTGCAGTGGTGGATAATGTGCCCCTGGTGGCAGCCGCGCAGGGCATGTATGATCTCAATGATCACCCAGTGACTAGCTGAGAAAATCTGAAGGACATCCAGGGGTTCAAACGTTTAATGATAGGATGATAGGCGGATGATAGGGGTATCCTCTATAAAGTCCACCTTCATCCAATTCGTGGATTGAAATATTTGAAATGGGGTGGCATGGTGGGTGAGGATGATAAATGCATGCATGTTTCGTCGATGAGGTCTTGTTTTCAAACACAAGGATGTACAAGAACGAGCTGCTTGGGGAGTGTCCGGCTTCCTATATATAGTATTTCATTGCAGTGCGGCTACATTTCATCAGCCTGGTGGAGCTTCTTTAGCGATGGGATTTGTGTTGACGGTGTTGACGATCCGATTTTCCCCAAAAATAATCCCATACTTTTTTAATTTTCTATATACTTTTCCCATTCAAACTCGGATTTCACTGGTAACTCTGGTAAAACCACTGCAACGATGGACTTTCTGATGACTTTCGGGTCGTTTCCCCTTCACGTCCGAGGCCAACGATGGCCTTTGGAATCTCATCACCTACTGCGCTGCCACGGGCGGGTCTCTGTTGGTGATTGGCTCGGCCGCTGGGGTGGCCTTCATGGGCCTGGAAAGGAAGGTGTCCTTTGGATGGCGCCTGGACCTACCATGGGATAGCATGGATAGCCAAGGGCGATCTAGGGGCAATAATTATCATATATATTATATTGATATATAACATATACATACAGTAACATATAACATAGACCCGGGCAAGCCGGCGGCGGAAGTTTCCCAAGAATAAATGACCTATAGTTCAAGGCCAGCCTGTCCCGAGCGTGTCCTTCCCTCGACAAGCGACTTTTTTTTTCAGCGAGAGACGAAGCAAAGTCTTCACACTCCACACTTCACACTTCACTCTTCGCACTCCAAACTTCACACTCCACAGTCCACACTTCACACTTCTCACTTCTCACTGCTTCCTTCACACTCCAAACTTCACACTCCACACTTCACACTTCGCACTTCACAGTCCACACTTCTCACTTCTCACTGCTTCCTTCACACTCCACACTTCACACTTCACACTTCTCACTTCGCACTTCACACTCCACATTCACAGTCCACACTTCACACTTCTCACTGCTCACTGCTTCCTTCACACTCCAAACTTCACACTTCACACTCACTTCGCACTTCACATTCCACATTTCACACTTCACACTTCACAGTCCACACTTCACACTTCTTACTGCTCACTGCTTCCTTCACACTCCAAACTTCACACTCCACACTCCACACTTCACACTGCACTCTTTGCACTCCAAACTTCACACTCCACACTTCACAGTCCACACTTCACTTTCTAGTCATTTATTCTTGGGACACTAATGCCGTCACTTCTACTTCCCACTGTCATTACCTAAAAAGGGGCCAGTCCAAACAGTTACAATACTCATTGTCACTACAGTTACAGCCACAACGGTCATTGTCAAAGTAGTCTTTGTCATAGTATCTATGGTCACAGTAGTCATGATCAGAATAGTCACAGTCACAGTCACATCAGGTATGGTCACACTAATCAAAGTCACGGTGGTCATTTTATGGAGGTTATCAACATACAACCGCACGAACGATGGAATTACTTCACACTCCACACTTCACACTTCTCACTGCTTCCTTCACACTCCAAACTTAAACTTCACACTCCACACTTCACACTTCTCACTTCCCACTGCTTCCTTCACACTGCACACTTCACACTGCACTCTTCACGCCCCACACTTCACTGCTCTAAACCTACGTGCAACGGCGTCGGAAAATTGTAGCTCCAAAACCGGATCTCGACGCCAGAGCGAAAAAAAAACGATTTTGAAGCACTTTTTAAAAGGATTTTTAAAAGGAAAATTACTAGCGCCAAAATGGAGGAAATCTGCTGACAAATCACTGTCGCAGCCTTCATGCAGCCACTCCAATACGATTTACGAAGTCCAGCTGCAAAAGACAATGGTATTACGCATGCAGCCTCAGCATGAAGCAACCTTGACGCAGCTATTACAATGCGATCTGCGGAGACTGAGTTGCAAAACACAATAGAACTACGCGCAACTGGGTCGGAAATTGCAGGTCCAAAACCGGATCTCGACGCCAGAGCGAAAAAAAGACGATTTTGAAGCACTTTTTAAAAGGATTTTTAAAAGGAAAATTACTAGCGCCAAAATGGAGAAAATCTGCTGACAAATCACTGTCGCACCCTTCATGCAGCCACTCCAATACGATTTACGAAGTCCAGCTGCAAAAAACAATAGTATTACGCATGCAGCCGCGGCACCAAGCAACCTTGACGCAGCCATTACAATGCGATCTGCAAAGACTGAGTTGCAAAACACAATAGAACTACGCGCAGCTGGGTCGGAAATTGCAGCTCCAAAACCGGATCTCGACGCCAAAGCGAAAAAAAGACGATTTTGAAGCACTTTTTAAAAGGATTTTTAAAAGGAAAATTATTAGCGCCAAAATGGAGAAAATCTGCTGACAAATCACTGTCGCAGCCTTCATGCAGCCACTCCAATACGATTTACGAAGTCCAGCTGCAAAAGACAATAGTATTACGCATGCAGCCGTGGCAAGAAGCAACCTTGACGCAGCCATTACTATGCGATCTGCAAAGGCTGAGTTGCAAAACACAATAGATCTACGCGCAACTGGGTCGGAAATTGCAGGTCCAAAACCGGATCTCGACGCCAGAGCGAAAAAAAGACGATTTTGAAGCACTTTTTAAAAGGATTTTCAGAAGGAAAATCACTAGCGCCAAAATGGAGAAAATCTGCTGACAAATCACTGTCGCAGCCTTCATGCAGCCACTCCAATACGATTTATGAAGTCCAGCTGCAAAAGACAATAGTATTACGCATGCAGCCAAAAGAGGAAGCAACACTTGCAATCCCATTTACATTGCGGGAACGATCCTACAGTTGCAAAGCGCAATGGAATTCCATCGGCAACTCATCCACCAGCAACACTTGCAATCCCATTTACATTGCGGGAAGGATCCTACAGTTGCAAATCACAATGGAATTTCATCGGCAACTCATCCAGGAGCACCACTTGCAATCCCATTTACAGTGCGGGAACGATCCTAGAGTTGCAAATCACAATGGACTTCCATCAGCAACTCATCCACCAGCACCACTTGCAACCCCATTTACAATGCGGGAACGATCCTACAGTTGCAAATCACAATGGAATTCTGTCGACCACACATGCACGAAAAACAGTTGAAACCCCATTTACAATGCGGAACCGATCCGACCATGATCCGCCCATGATCCGA